ATGTATGTTGGCCTCGTTAATTACATATGCACATATGCATATATGCTTAATTCTCATACTGCGGAACTCACAATATATATGTATATGTATGAGAATTGATGTATAATATGTACGTGCTAGCGATAGTGTTGTTGTTGTGTTTTGTTGTCTGCTATTTAACCAAAGAATTCATGACAAGTCCTACAGCTAAGCTTACCCTTAATTGTGTCGCTTTTCTCAAGCTTAATCTATGTATGTGAAGTTTAAATTGAATTTTTGTACGAATTTCATTGGGAATACGTAATGTTGTGAATGAAATTTTTTTTTATAAATACGTGGCAAGGTCGTCGCATGCATTCCTTAATGTGTGGGAGTAATACAGTGTACTTTAATTTGATTGCAAAACCTCTTGAACAATTTTCAGCGTTAAAATTGTTTAACGTTTCGATTTATTTTGGCGCGGCTTTGTAACTAATTTTCCATATTAATAATTGAGGATATTTAATATACCATAAAAAAGGCCACAACTGATTGCAACCCGAGTTCCTTCTCCAATTTACGGAGTGAGCTTTAATTACTTTCCGACAAAGAAGAAACCTGCTTACTTTATAGCACATCATTATTGCTGATCCATGCCAATGCTACACTCAGAGAGATTGACATTCCTCCCAAGTGGTGAATGCAATTAGAGGAAATTTATATAGTTTTGTTAATCAAAAATTAATTTTATATAATTTTGGAATTTGAACGCAGGACCTTCGACTTCGTAGCAAGCACTGCTAAGCCCTTGGCTCTTGCGGTCATCAAATAATGTTGCATAACATGAAAAAAAGTAGTTGTTCAATTTCCTGCTTTTTATTAGACCAAATTTATGTCTATTAACACCTTACGCGCTTAGCATTAACCATTTAAGGAACCGTTAATCACCAAGAAATCTTTGCTCAAAAACTGTCACGAAATTCATTCAACTCTGGTCTCAAATACGTATTCGAAGAAACTTATGGTAGAGCTTAGCGCTTATTGTAAAATTGAAAATGAATTGAAATGCTGAAGTGCAAATCGGCTTAAAATATATTTTTCGTCGAGTCACACCCGTCGAACAGTTGTAAGTGAAAATATTTTTATAATACTTATTTTACTACATACACATATTTGCTGAAAAACTAAAATATACCTATAACCCCCGCAATGTCTCCTTTAAAATTTATTCAAATAATTTTTTTTCGTTTTTCGTTTTTTGTTTTTTTTTTCACTGTAATACATTGACCTTAACGTGATTGCCGTTTGCGACGATTAATTTGAACCAATTCAGATTGAGACATTTCTCATAGCAGCAATCTCTAGTGGACCCTAACAGCCAAGCAGGCACTGAACAAAGCGATAAACATGAAATAAATCACCAATGGCTCAATTGCAATCACTCATTTGTTATATTTCTACATTTAATTTAAAACAAATTGCAAGCAACGGCGAAAATAATAAATAATAAAACTAACGAAACTACAAATTCACGCATTTCATTTTTAAGTGACTCCAATTATATGAACTTTTGATACGTTTGATATCTTTGATACCTGTCGAATTGCAAAACCTCAAATTGTTCGTTCGGCCAATTTACGCGTCCCAGTACATACATACGTGTACCTACATAGTTGGTTTTTGTTAGTTTTTACATTGAATTTACAGTTAACTAATATTTGACACTGAAAAATTTGCAATTACATTAAATGGATTGTATTTTGCAAATAAAAAATATTTTTGGCATTAAAATGATATTCACAACTCATAAATTTGTATTTTCTTGGAAATGACATAGATTACAAACAAATACAGTGCATTTTGTAACAGTTAAAAGCCAAAATGTGCATAACAACCGCATTAAATTGTCCCTTTGCGAAGAAAGACGTTAGTGTTAGTTGAACGAAGACAAATGGAGGATTTTCGACGTAGAAAGCCAGACTCTGCTTAAAAAAGTATGCCATTGCATTTACCAACAAATCTAAAGTGCAGCAATATTAGATTTTTGTGCTCATAAGAAATTCACTAATGAAATAAGAAATAATTTAAACTTAACATTTTTTATTTTTCCCACTCAACATGTCCAAAGATTTATTTGTGGTATAATTTAGTCGCAACCTTTTGTACAACGACAGCATTTTTCAATGAATCTAATGACGATTCACAAACTATTTAACTATTTCAAATGCATAGATGTGGCAATTGAGAGCTCGCAGTGACATTGACAACGATACCGAAGCATATCACACCAAAAGCAACACTTCTAAGCGAATGGAAATCTAACTCTTCGAATATTCATATGTCATTAGGTATCATATCATTATCCATAAACCTTGAACCTTGACCGGGGGACACAAATAAGCAACCGCACAGGAGCGCCCATGAAGGCCTAGAATAAGCATATATACGATTATGTGCATATTCAAGCACTAGCAACCCTATATTAAAACAAAATGAACTTGGCAAATTAAGCCACAAGAATTCTCAAACAAATATATATGTATGTGCGCGCCGGTACTCAAGTGCATTTATGTGACTTAAGCAGACACAAATATGTGCAAGTGAAACCAATGCTTCGAATACTTGGAATTCAGAAGGAATTTAACCACAAAATATATTAAACTGAAAACAAAACTAATAAATTCGTTATCATGTCAATAGGTAAAAAATATACGAAGAAAAAAGCTAACATATATTATTTTTCAATTTTCTTGATTATATGTTAAATATATATAATTGGCGCTTTGTAACCGCTGAAGCAATTTTTCGGCCGAGCTCCTCCTAGAAATTTTGGTTTTTACATCTTGAAGTTTTTCCAACAAATGGCGGAACCTACTGTTTATACAGAGCCACCTACGAATGGCTGATGGTTCTTTACGAGGAGTTTTAGATTTTCATGTCCGAAACACACTCGGAGGGGTGGACATTCCCTGCCAAAGGGCGACCGCAACTAGAAATTAACTTAATGTTTTATTTAAATTAATTTTACATAACTTTTGGATATTGGTGGTACCGGGATATGAATCCGAGCCTTCCGAATGTCAGTACGCAACGCTAGCCACTCAGCTAACGCGGCCGCCAATATGTTAAATAAATTAATATAATTTCATTAATTTAATTGTATTTTATTTAGTTTCATTTTATTTCAGTACAATTTTTGTGACTGTGAGAGTAAATCAGTTGTTGCTTTAGCAAATTATTTTACTGGTTAATCGCTTTCAATACCAAAAACTTATTTTTTTGTTTTTGTCACTTTTGACGGCAGCGTATCAGAGAAACTGTCGAAATTCCCATTAACTATAGGTTGCTTGGTCAATTAGTTTAGAAATAACTTACTTTCATTAAATATAAATAAAATTTGTGTTGGAGTGAAATACTTTATAGACATATGTACAAACAACTAGGCACCCTTTTTTTAGACTATCAAAACAAATTATTTTTGCGATCAACTCACAAAGAAGAGCGAAAGTCATAATGGTGCACAGCATAGACATTTTTGTCGGGTTTGTGGCTTAAGTCTTTAGTACTCAATCAATTTTTTAGGTCGCAAAGTAACCTTGACTTTGATGTTGCTGTCGATCGTGTCTAGTGTGAACAATGAAAACATATATTTACTCACTAAGCTAGCAAAAGCAAAGTGGGGAAAATTATTATATTTTATTTTTAGATGCATAATTAAAAAAAAAAAAGAAATAGGAAGTTAAGAATTCATCTAATAAGATTAGAATTTTTTGCTTTTATTAGCAATAGGCAATGAATATTTTTTATGAGCTGAAACAGTTTTTATGGACGAAATGCTTGTGCTTCAGTATGTATATTTTTTCTTGCATGGGAATTCTCGTACAGTTGATGCAAATTCAAGTTTCAACTTTTTACAGCTAAAAGTTTTTCTCGACAGTTATAAACGCCAACTCAATACACATAAATTATGGAAACTTGTCATCATCGAATGACCACAATACAAAATAATTGTTTTTTTTTACTCTCATAGTCAAGCCGAAACGTAATTTACAATCGTCGTTTTCATTGAATAATTTAGCAGTCTGCCCCAACAACATTGTCTGTCCTCATTGTGCATCATTCGATCAACAGTAAACCCAATTTGCTCGCCTTGGACGAGCTCTTGTACGTAACCCATAAGCCCTTTTGCAGATATTGCACTTATTTCTGATTCTTTTCCATCTGGTCATCTTAATCTGTCCTTCGTTTGTTTGTCCCTCGAATTGTGAAAAACTTCAGCCTCATGTTTGTTGATTAAATTTTAAAATATTTGCATTGACGATTTTTCGAATGTGAAAGTCGCAAAACCAGAAGGGATATCTATTCTTACAAACCAACACACTCATACACACACATGCCCTAGACAGCATCATTACACAAATAAAATCATTACACACTTTGTAAATACAACAAAATCAAAGACAAGAAGAAGAAGATTGAACCAGGAATATGTTTCAGCAATATAAAACAATATTATGGATATTATATTTCAACAACGAAACAACTAAAACTAAAAAAATGAACCGCCGCAGAAGCTAATTTGAAATACATATTCACCACACCGGCGTAGTGGTGGAAAACATGTTGAGTTAATTAGCAGCGAGTGAATAATCGCTTCAATTGAGAGCCCGTTTCTACGCTTGAGTAATTTACAAAGCGAACGCAGCGTTAGCAAAGTCTAGCGCAGACACTTGGCTCATGGCGGCAGCAGAGCCCGGAGCAATACCGGCACAAAAAAGCCAAATGAATAATAGAACGCGCGCGTGCAACGCAGCTCCAAGCAGCGGCACAACTTAGCCAAAGTCTAAACAGCGCAACACAACTCTGTCAGCGTTCAAAGCCAGAAGCATCGCCACCTGAAGTGTTCATGGCTTTACTGATCGGCTGCGCGGCGGCCCTGCTTCGCTACCACCATTAAGCTGCTATGCCCACTGCTATGAGCTGCGTACACAACGCATTTTCTTCGCTGCCTTAGCGCGTGTTTGTTTCGTGTATTTAACCGAAACTTGATCTCAGAATCGGCACAGTATTCCGGGCAATTCAGCAGTGTGCAAATCGGTGGTGCCGTCGAAATACTTCAAGTGCGAATTTAATTCAAATACATACTTATTTATAGTTTTTGCACAAAAATAATAATAATAAATAGAAACGGATATTTACAAGTTACTTAAAAGAAAAATACAAATTTTTATTTCCAGAAAAATTTTTAACGACCCTTACTCGTCCATTCCTTGAAATAAATTTAACCAGTGCAATTGTAATTATTGTGGTTACCTTCGTTCTCCTTGAAAGAGTTACCAAAATAAGAAATCTGAAAATGGCAAACCTCAAGTGTATACTCGTTCTCACAATCGCCTTCTTTGGGAGCGCAGTGCTGGCGCGGCCAGGATATGCAGTGGATTATTATGTGAGTGCATGGTGAACATTTTTAAAGTTACGTATACGCTGTGTTGTGCTGTTGTACTAGAAATTAATGAAATACCCAAGCTCTGCAAGTGAATTGAATACACAAGATGGCGAAGATGAAATTAAAAATTTATTTATTTGTTATAAAGTATTACTAAAATTATTTTTCTTCGAAATTATTTTCATTAATCCAACAAAAATTCAAGTGAATTAATATAAAATTATTTATGCCATTTTACCTTTTCAGGTGTTTTGAGCTTTTTGTTTTAAAAACATATTCAAACATACCGACAAAAAATCAAATATTTTACTTTTATTAATAATTAAATTTGGAAAAACTTTGCTCCCTATCTATTAAAATTCCATTGAAATATACCACAACATTGTTTGAACTTTTCAAGGTCCCTGAAAAATTATTGGTTTTTTCAAATTAAAATTCCTTAAATTTGGTAAATTGTTATTTATAGCACAATTGATACTAAACATAAATATTTTTTTACTTTAAATTACTCACCGAATTTCTAAACATACGAAATATTCCATTTTGTCTTTTCAGAACCATCCCAAATACGCATTCAATTACGGTGTGGCCGATCACACAACTGGTGATGTGAAATCGCAGCACGAAACGAGGGATGGTGATATTGTCAAAGGTGGGCATAGATCTTAATTTAAGATTAGTTAAATTCAAAAATATTAGTATTGAAATACAAAATTTTTAATGCTTTTTTTCCTCTCCTTTTATTTATTTTGCTCTAATATTTTACTAGGTCAATACTCGCTCGTCGAACCAGATGGCTCCATCCGCACCGTCGATTATACCGCCGATCCTATTAACGGCTTTAACGCTGTCGTTACAAAATCAGGACCCACAGTACATGCGCAAGCGTTGGTGCCCGCACCACACTATGAACCTGCACCAGTGGTGAAGCATGTTGCGCCTGCGCCAGCAGTTGTAGTGCCAGCACCAGCGCCTTATGGTAAGTGAACAAGAATTTTCTCCTCTTTCAAATTATCAAAAAGTATTTACATATTTTATGCTAAAATTTTTAAATTTAATTTAAATGTTACTTAGCCAACTAACCACATTTAATGGAATGAACTTAATTAAAATTCTTTGCTTGGCATTTCTCTAAGTTTCGGAACCACATCCTTTTCGTATAATATCTTCTTCTAGACAACTTTTAATTTCCACCTCCAATAGTTTCGTAGCCACCTGTCATTCAGCCAAACCCTTCCACAAATATTTTCTAAAAAGAAATTTGTCACCAACAACAACACCGTCTTCTATGCTATTTCTCATCATTCTTCATGCAATTCTTCATGCACAGGCATTAATACATATCGCATGGTGAAGTTGTTGCGCCGCCACGCTCACATCAAAAACAATCAATTCCTTAAATTACGCCCAGACGAGTCAGCTGAGGCAACAGACTATCATTATTATGATGCACATAATTACTATTACTAATATGGAAAAGTGAGTGCAAGCAAAAAACAAAGGAAATTAACAACAAAATCCACCTACGGCGAGTAAATCACACGTTTCGCATATACTTATGTATGTATATGTATATATCTGCACATAGCCCATATAGGTATGCCATTGCCATTTATCATTGTAGTACATAATTAGTTTATACATAAGCTTCCACCTGCCTCTGTAAAAAGTGTGCATTACTCACTTATTTTCCCACCAACAAATTTATTCGCTTATTTATTCATTAACAATTACTTTGAATATTAATGCAATTATTTTAATTAGTCTGGCTCAGTCAGTGCGATTAAGAATAGAGAATTTAATCTAGATTACAGCGATTTGTTGTACATATTTATTGAATTTTTTGCTCTACGTGACGTTCAAGTTTAATTGCTCTCAAAGAGTCGAGCATATCTGAGAACATACAGATTCGCACAATTATTAAATTTACATATTCACATATTATATATTATATGCAACTCTTACTTTTTATGATTCACTGTTTATTCTAAGAATACACTTTGATCTTCCAGTCATAAAAGGCTTAAAACAAATTCCATTTTTTCTATAAAAATACAAATGAAACTATGAACATATGCAGAAGGGTCAAAATGAAAGAAAGTGAAGAAGTACTGAATTAATATATATATATATAAGAATATCAGTACTAACATAATTAAAACTCTCTGAAAAACGCCATGTACTCCTTAAAACTTCACTACATATTTTTATATTACTTTGTTCTTGGCCGTTTTTAAATTAATATTAGAAGTTAGATCAGAGAAAACTATGATAATATCTCGAGGAGGTATCTTAAAGATATTTTTATGTAAGCAAAAACTTCCCAAATTGTAGGATTTTTAGCAAACCTTTTCGATTTAACATTATAAAAATTTTTCATTTTTCATTTCAAAAACTCCTGTGTAGTTTATATTATATGAAATAAAATTATTCCAAAAATGTCTTCAAATTTTTCCAAAATATACATCAACAGATTCCAATACCAGTTTTGATCTAGTTCTTAAATAATCTATGAAAAACATGCACAAAGCAGAAATGCGGATTTTTAAGCTTACCATCTTGCATGTGTTTATGCGTTTCAGCTGCCCTGCTTCCATTAGAGCTGTAAATTATTTCATAAGACTGAGTTAAGCGACAAACTCATGTCCGCTGGTCTCTGCTTCTCATTTATGATGGCAAAATATTAATATTCTTTTAGTCAGAGATTTCATAAGCCATATTCTGTAATTTTCGCATACACTGCCATATAATCATAAAAGTTATCCAACATCTTTTCCAGTTATTCGTCATTGTTTTGATGTTACCACCCTATTCTCATCGCCTGTCTGAAGCCCATGTCTTACACAGATCAGCCACCTACCGAACACCACCCTCTATTTGCTGCTGCATTTGTGCGTTTTTACATTTACCAACATTTGTCCATATAACTCCGCAATCTTTTTGTTTTCTTCTGATGTTTAGAGTTTTCGAATTCCCATATTAGCATAAAAATTACTGAAAAACTAAAAAAACAACTCGAAGCATAAGCAAAAAGTCAGAAGAAATAACCGAAGGTGCCACTATGCACTGGCCAACATGTGCATATGGCAAAAAAAAAAAGTAAAAATAAATTGCAAAATTTTCACGTTGAAAAAGATTCAATGTAAACAACAGATTTTTCGCATAACCCATTTACCATACGAGTGTGACGACACAAAAAGCCGCATGTGACATATTTATTATTTGATGGAACTTTGGAAATTCGATAAGCCATCCGAAAATATATATAGGTGCATACTTTTATGCATAGGAAATAATTCCAAATCTTTTTAATATACATACGTATATGTGCATACATGGCAAAGACTTGACGACACGTAGCTCTAATTGCTGTTATGCAAACACCTTTTGAAGAAGAAATATCTATTACCACAAATTTCCAATATTCATACACAATTATAATTAATATGTCCGCATGGTCTATAAAACAAAAAAAAACAAGAAAGAGTTTGTAGGCACTGAATTCTCAACATAAATCAATTGTGACTCCAGCATAAAATTGCAGCAATAAAATCCGAGATTAACAAATAGCTGTCTAGTGTTACAGCAGCCGCCCACACAAATACAATCCAAACGAGGGCAAGTCTCACTTTGTATTGTTGTAAAAGTTTATGGAAATTTGCTTCCCAGGCAGCAGTAATCATGCCACTAGCGACAAACATAATGTGATATTTGAAATTTACCCCCTTGCCACAAATGGGTTTTCAGGTCGCTTCGATACTTCAGTTTGTATTTTGTCGTTTGCCTGGGAAAGCAAGTAAGAGTGTTAATAGTACTAGCTTTTGTTTTAATTGGGCATAATTATATGTATATAGTGCTAATCTCGCATTTATCACCACATTATTAATACCTTAATAAGTAATCAGGTTCGTGGCTAAAGTCTTTTGAATTATTTGACATTTCGGTTGATTTCTCGGAGGTACGTATTTACTGTTCATAAAAGACGCCATGAGAGCGAAGAGATAGTCAATATTTTTAGAATATTTGTTTTCCTAAACAAGCCGTCATATTGTTGTGAGGAAAAAGTTAAAATATAGCTCAGATTTCAAAAATACTTTTTTTTTAGTTTTCCGTTTACTTATTAATCGTTTGCATACTCAGCTCCTCTCTTATACTCTGGTTACTGTTATTTTATCTCACCGGTTACTACCGCGCAGGTCCGCACTTCCTGGTGGCATTTGGAACCCAGAGCAAGTTCAGTATTATTTGTAGTACGAAACTAGTTCAGTTAAAGCTTAGTAGTTTTAATGAAGCAAAATTTTCAATAAAGAATAAAATAATAAATAAAAGAAACTAATATTAACACAAGTACTCACGTAAGATGAAAATATAACACTAACAATGTACATATATTTATCGGTAAAGTCGCAAATGCTCACCATATCACTAAATTTCCTTCGGCTTCTTTTCTACCCTTCCTCCTGCGAAGCGTAAAAACAAAACAGAAACAAATAACAAAGCGGAGTAGCCAGTGAACTGTGTCTTGCGTTACAACTCGAAACTTCAGTTTTTACTTCACTTCACTGCCGCAATGCTTGTGTTTCTTTTAATATTGATGATATTACTTTAGTTTGAACAAACGCATTATTGCCACTAGCTTCTGCGGCTTTCTTGGGCAATTGATGTTCCAACTGTGCAGTTTAAGCAATTTCTTAAAGTGACCATCATAAATTTGCGTAAAGTAATAGACATTTACGCCGACAATAGAGAGCACACAAAGGCACACACAAAAAATTGGATCGTCATTGCAAAATAATATTCAATAGTAAATTTCAAATAATACTCGTAAAAATCCAAATCAAGTATGTGGCATTTGTGCGTGTGAGTGTATCAAACAGAAAAAAATTGACCAATGCTTTTTACTATAACCAAAACTTTTTCCTTTCAATGAGATATATTTATTGCACAGAAAATATGCGATAAAATTAAAAAATTGTGGACTTTTTGTATATTTTTATATAACTATATACTTACTGTACATATATACTTATAATAAGAAAAATTAATTTTTAAATGGAATAATTCAAAAGTGTTTAATGTCTTCAATATACGTACATATGTGCTTATATGTATTTATTTAACATTTTATTTCATTTTCCACTTTCAGCTTCTAAACCCTACGCGCCCATCCACTACGATTACGATGATTATGGTCATGGTGCTCAATATGAATATGTGCCTCAGTACAACGGTCACTATGGTGGCGGTGCCGGCTACAATGCTCCTCACTATGATGGTCACTACGGCGGACATTATGGCGGTCACTATGGTGGCCACTACTGAGAGAGGAACACCATATAGTGCGCCCTCTGCGGTAGCTGCCCTTTCGAACAGAGTACAACTCTTTTCAGCATAATTAGCGAAAATTGAGCGAAAAATTTATGCTCATCCAACACTTACTTAACCTCCTAATTTCTCCCCCCACATATCTTTTCCTTACACGTACTGCCTACAAATTACTCGCCAAAATGCTTTAAAATTTTATTTACATATTCTATAACTGAAACTATAACAATGTCCTTATGTTTAGTCGATAAGTTTGTATTGTGTTTTTCTATTACTATTATTGTATTATCATAATTATTATTATTGATTGTTGTAGGATTTGAAAATTGTGTGCAAGCTTTAAATTTCCGTTGTCGTTTGTCGATGCTAACTGTTGGCATTCAACGGTTTATGCATGGAATTCAGGCAAAAGTGTTCTATCCACCATTCTTGTAACAATATCTAATATTTATATAAACGTATGTATGTAAGTGAAGAAGATGATGTACAATATCATTTTTATAATTTTTTATTTGTAACAAAAGAAAACTTTTTGTAACGCAACAATAAAACGAATACTCAAAAATTAAAAAAAAAATCAGTTATTAAATTATTTTGCATTGGAGGCCCTTCCAAGCGAGGATGAAAATTCCACAAATTCCTCTGCTTCGCTTTTCATTACTTAATTTGAACTTTAGCCTTCAACATTAGACTGAAAAGTGAGGTTCGAGTTTACGCGAAAAATCTTATATATCAAAGCTCGCAACCTTCATTCCTTTATTCATATTTTATTATGTCGATCAACTAGAATGTTCCGATTCATCAATATTAATTTCTATAGTGTCTACACGAAAAACGCCGCTACTCAAACATCGTCAATTCTACGGGCACTGTAAATTAAAATACTGTATACGTACATCTCATCTATTGCTGCCGACCCTTCATACGGTTTCTCTCAAATTTGGTTATGTTTACAAATTGGCGAAAGCCACTCGATAAAAAAGAAAATAACTGTTATGGAACTGACGATTCTATACCAAATAAAGTTGCCTAGGATTTGAACGTAAGTACAAAGGTATAGAAATATTTTATCGCGATATTTTTGACATTTTTGGGGGGTTGTATGCATCTAAATAGGCTTAACTATGCTCGGCAAAGCTCACTTATCGACGAATATTTTTGAAAGCAAGTGATTTAAAAGAGATCGACCAATACATTGGAGTGCACGTATGCAGATGGCCACCAAAGCTACTATAATCAACTTCTATTAACTCTTTTTCTGGTACTGAATGTGTAATAAAAATCGAGGTTTTTCATCCGAGATCCTTCTCTTAATTATTATTCTATTCTTTTATTTCTCGTTATAAATACACTCGAAGGGCTTAACAGCCGAGAGTCAGAATTGTTTAGTTTATCTAATTTTGTTTACGCACTGTTGAGCAAAGTCTGTTTAAGTAGCGATGAGGTTAGGTCTGCCCAAAAGTGAAAGCTTTCTAATAAAAAAAACAAGTCACCTCCGGAGGTTAGAGTTAGTAAGAAACTACTCTGACTGACCAAACGGTTGGTTCCAGGCCGTTTATCGACACAACCATTGATGGTGGTGGAATCTGCTACTTATCGCTCAGAAAAGTTTAAGTTTCCGCAAAGCTAATCATCCAAGATATTTGCTCTGATTAGCTTAATTAAGTCTTATTGGTATAATTAGTAATTAGTAATCATCGAGAAGGCGTCAAGTAAAGTTAATGTTGGCGAATAAATGCAGAAAAAATTTGAATTGATTCAAATCCAACAACACATTTGAGCTTCGTTGCAATTGGAACCGAAACAGCTTTGGCTTTGTGCTTTACCTTTAGATCATAATCGGCTTTTGTTTACAATGGCCTCAAGCTTTATCTGTCACCATTTAGTAACCGGTTAGATATGTTCCACAAACAGTGACTTCAATAATGTGTGCAAGCTTAAGGTTTATGGATACGATTATATGAAACTGAGCGCTTAAAAGCTCGTCACTATCAGCCTCAATAGCGTTGCGTACATTTAGGCTGCACTTAAATTTAAGAAGTTAATAGATTAAAAGCATTATTTCTCAAGTATTTATCAGTAGCGAATTGGCTTTCCCTTACATGTTGAAGGAAATTTCTTCAATAAAAATGAGATCGAACTGTCAAAGCAGTGAAATATTTAAATAAAAGATTCGTATATATCTTCAAATTCAAATTATAGAAATGTGAGGGCTTAGGGAAGCTTTTATAATTCGCAATATATTTTGAAGTCCTTAGATATTCTATAATTTCTTGTTGGCAAATTCCTGTCGCCCCCGAGCTCTATTCTCTCCAACGGCGTAAGATTACCTACAATTTCTCAGAACCAGAACCAGATATAGTATTAATATATAGAATTATAAAAATTCGAATTTTAAAATGAATGTTCTCATTTTTTATCGTCAGTCTCTATAAATGCTAAAAGAAAATTTTACATTCAAATGCAAATATCACATATCATTATCTTGTATTATGTATTATGCTACACATAATATACAGGTGCCATTATTTTGACAAAAAATTGTTGATTATTACTCATTTCATAAGGGTGTTTATGCTAACAATTAAAAAAATGTGTGTTGCATGAATTTATTCATTAACCCATTCTAAAGTTATTAAACTTGGGAAAACATTTTTATAGACCCGAAATTTTGCATGCAGATTTATGTTGGTTAATCTGTTAATTCTTTGTTTCCCATATGTTTCTCTATATCGCTTCAAAGAAAGATAATAAACAAGCAGAATTTTCCGAATTTCATTTTAAGTCGATTTTCGAAAACTTTTTTCTCGATTGCAGGAAATGTCGAAATCTCACGTGCCCTAAGCCTACAAATATCCAAGTAATATAAAACAACCACAATGGATTACCAGAATAATACAACAATACTCGTGTACAAGCGACGCGCCACAGTTAATTTAATGCAAAAACGTGAGATGAGTAAAGCAATGCGTGCAGTAGAATCTCGGTACTTGAATATTGGCCAACATTTGCACGTATACATGCTTAACTTATGCAGGCACACTGTTGATGAAAATATTGGAAGCATTCCAAGAAAACATGAAATTTGTTTTGAATTATTTCGGCAGAGTGACCTTTGTTCCAAAATCCACACTTACCTTTCGCTCAAAATATATTTTTTGCAAAAATATATTAAATTTAATACCCAACTGTATATCAATACAAATATAAATATGTATGTGTAGTTGTTGCCTGTTTTTTGTTAAGCTTTTGGTTTCGAACAAATAACCACATCGCACTGCCACACATTTATACCTGCATGCAGTCGTAAGTGATCCATAATTGAATGTATGTGTGTGTATTAACGGAGACACGCATTCGCCCGTGCCTTACGTGCATTTAAAGTAGCATCCGAAAATTTCGAAATTTTTCTACCGCACACAATGGAACACAATATGAGCTGATTAACAGCCCAGAGCGGGTGAACTCAGCAACATATCGACATGTGCCTCATAGCAGACAGTGACAGGTAATTGCGAGTGTATGACTATATCTATATGCGTATATGTCTAAAACTTTTGATTGGATCTTTTTTGGTTTTTAACGAATTTGCGATTTTCGAGCAAAAACTATTATTATATTTTGTTGTGTATGTATGTATTGATAGGGGAGGCACGGTAAATGTTTGTTCGTATGTTGAGACGAGTTTACCGCACAAATAACTCACGATGTTTGTGTTACAATGTGACTGCTCTATTTTACAGTTGTATGCTTCTTCTTTTTCTTATTTACCACATAAATTGAATTAAGGCCAATAAATCACAAAATCTTTGGGATTCTTCTTTCTTAACTTCATATGAAAATTAACCGGAAAATTGAAGGCTTTATTTTATATATTTGGAATTAACCGATTGATGTCAAATGGGCACCATTTCGCTTGACACCATTTTACAGGTATTTTCAAAGTGCCTCTCTCACAAAATCTCCTGTCCCTATGGGGAAAAAATTGGTGCAATCAATTTTCACAGGCTTCTCTTGAGGTCAATTCTTCACCATCCAAATCATTCGTCATAAGTATGAACAGCTAGTAATCACAGGTGTGTGGTCTGAACAATAAGGAGGATGCATAAGAACCTCCCAACCAAGCTCTCGCAGTTTCTGATAAGCCCGTAATGATGTATGTATGTGATCTCGCGTTGCCCTGATAAGCCACGAGAGGTATTGTGGCCAAAACTGGACGCTTCTGGGCGATAGCTGCTTTAGATGGTTCATTTATCCAATGGTTTTAATTTATTATTTCAGTTTTCTTTGATTTGCAGTAATTACTAAAAATATCCTTTAAAATTTTTCTCGTTCTCAGTTTAGCTCCACCAATTCGCGCCGATGGCCATTAAGACGCTATTAATTTTTAATTACTCTCTTTATTTACGTTCTGCAGCAAGTGAATTTCGTTTTTGGCTAATCGCAATGACAATTTCAGAAGGTTAGCAACAACAACAAAATCGAAATCAACAACATTCAACGTTGCATATTTATAGCCATACTTTTTGCGTCGAAAATGAGTTTTATGAATTTATTTTTTAGCGATTAAGATTACGATTATTTTTAGCTCTGCCATGAACCAAATATACAAAAACATGCATTTTCGTGCATATGTACGTACGTGTATGTCCATACATTGCGTGTATGTATATAAAGCAAGCAAATTAAATCCGCAGCGCGTGATATGAAATTTATTTTGAGCTAATGAAGACACCATTCTGCAAACAAAATAACAAACCATTTTACTTTTTGCGAAAAGAACATGTCTCAGCATTAGGGTGGATTGGTTTTTATCGAAGCCGCAAATGCATATCATAAATTCATTTAGAAATCCATGTAAGTATGTATTTCAGAGCTCGCTGCGGAATGATTCCGAATCCCACTAAAGGCTGCCAAGAAGTTCATAAATAGACGCAAATGCGCCGAATGCTCTTTTCGTTTATCTTAGTCAAAAAACTACAGAAACATGTCGTTGACGAGTGCATTTGAACTGCTCTTCGTCGGAGCGGCGTCTCAAGGAACTCCTGGTGCAGGTCTGAGAAACATATGGCTTAGGAGGAGTGTCAAGCGTTTTCTATATAATCAATAATTTTTAGATCTCTTCCTATTGAACTCTGTCGCTGTACTCTAATGAAAATGGCTAAAAAACATGGCACTTAATCAATCACCATGAAAGGTCTAAAATTTACTAAAATAAACCTAGAATGCTTTTACCAGCAGACCACGGCGTCAGTCGTACAGGAAATATCTTGCATACTGAGAGCAAATAACTGAGACACAATAGAAATCGCATGGAACTTGAAAACATGAAGACGCCCACCCGTCTCTTACTACTTTTTTCTGCACATATATACACATACTGAAACCCACTTGATGAGATATCTCATCTTCGTAGGTTATAAACTCCGCCTAATGCTAATTTGCTTTTGAAAGCCCAGCAAAAATTATGCGATTTATTCACAGCTGACGTCTTCACCCACTGATGGTCTTAGTAAGTGACAGCTTGCACAGGCAGCATAGCAAATGCAAATGCTCTAGTCTGCAAACTGGAAAATATTAAGCTCAAATTGACACCTGCAGATGCTGCCATCACGAGGCGTGCAGTTCTTTGGTCACAGCTTTATTATGCGACCAAGAGAAGGTTCCCAAGAATCGCACACTTCAAACGCTGCCAAGCTGCTGAGGAGTCAAAAACAATTTGGCGCAGAAAATTTTCGAAACACAATCGCAACAACATACGCTTTGTTAAGGAAAAATCGTGATAAACGGAAAAATCATTAAGTTGAAGTGTCGATTTGCGAGTGCTGAATTAGAACTGAAGTAAGAAAACAATAAATGTTCTGTAGTAAACAATAAAAAGTGAATGTTAACAAAAAAGAAAAATAAATTCGAAAATGTTGTAACAAATTCACCTTCACTTGCGTTGCATTATTCAGCAGTGAGTTACGACATTCGGTGCCTACTGCAAACAAATATTCGTGTAAGCTCTCTTACAATTCCACCGCAAGTGTTGCATCTCTCCGAAAAGTGAATGTGAATTGTGAAATTGTTTTGTGGGTGCCTTTATTAATTTTTGCACTAAATAAAAGTCGTGAGGCAATTTCAATTAATTTATTTACTGGCATTTGAATTCGATTTGGCAAGGCCAATCAGCTGCGGCACGGATGTCAATGGAATTTAATTAAGCACGCAGAAGTTGACCTATGTTTTAGATAAAAAAAAAATACTTTTGTTGGTTATCTATATTTGTCACATCAAAAAAATGTATAAAACCACATAAAGTAAAGTATTTCGGTACATATTCGTACACATAAAATGGCAGGTATTTAAGGTGGATATTTGGAACACTCATCAAAAATAATTTTGTCAGAGTTAACCCTTTCATAAAAGCACTCTGCCACTCTAAGTACGAGTATATAGACTAGGGCGTGAAAAAGAAGGCCTCTGAAGATGTTCTCTGTCAAACGTAATTTGGAATAGAATTCCAAAATAATATATTGTATATTTATATATATAAATATATAGAACTATATGTGAAAAGTACCATACAGAAAGTTATTCAAAAGAGTGTTGGAGTTTGGCAATCCATTATCGGCGGTTTTCTCTTTTACCCACTGGTGCAGGTGTGCGTCAGACATTACCAGAGAGATGAATAAAAATCGTAGCGATTAAGGCTCACTCGCTGGGACCTCGCATCACTGCAGAACTCAATGAGTTTGACGGACATTGAAAATCGTTTCCAAGTGAATGAAAGCAATGAATTTAGATATGTAAAAGTCACGCTTTTCGCTTATAACTCAATTCAGATTACTCTCACAAATTTCACCTTAGACGCTTGAAACACGGATAGTTTCTTATTTAAAATTACTAACAGTAGAATATTATTTGATGATTTAACCCTCACTTTACCAAACCATTTCTGTTTGCGATCTTTGTGGAATACTACTGAGACTATATTACATCTTCTGCAGTATGGGCTTCGGTACATTCTAGGGCATACTATACTACAATTCTTCCAAGGTTAAGTTGCATTCCAATCTCATTGCGTGGTAGCTCGAAATTTGCTGAATATATATGAAGGAAGGAAGCTGAGGGAGCCGATGGGAGGACAGCTGCCGATCATTGAACTCTCTCTAATTTGTTCCTGAAAGTAATTCTCTCGAGTGCGGCGCACAATACCATTACACCATAGAAAACGATTGGTGTAACAACCATTGTACAAATCCTGTGCAAAATATACTGTTACAAACCCCAATTTTTTCTATCAGCATTCCTCGACCCTACCTTCGTGCTTCGGTAGAGCTGAGTTTGCTATCTAAAAAAATCCCGAGTTATTACTACGCCAAATTAGAGGCTTAAAAGGAGGCGGTTTGTGTCTCCTGGTGAACAGGATCATTTCGGCTTCGTCGGGGTTCACATCCAGCTCGCTGTCCTTGCACCAGTTCTCTACTACGTGTAGGGCGTTTTATTTTCCAATAAACTTCCTCTTGGTATTTTATGTTGTAGAAAATCACATAAATAAACTAGCCTTTCTCGCTGGCATAACTTTCCATTGAAATAATATAATTTCACGTGTAACTGCAACTTCTCTGGAACTAATTACTTTAAAGGCGATCGTAACTGTTCAAAAGCAATCAACGTCCGAAATCATCCTTTCGCCTGGAACTATTTTGTATTTGAGTTCGAGTGCATATTGAGTATTTCGAGGAAATTCACTAGCGCTGCTCTACATACATACATTTTAAAGCGATTTCCTGCTTACCTAGATATTTATTATTAATTTCACCTTTCAAATTCACGAGTTTTCAGAAGAAAATTATGGTCAACTATTTCACGCCAGCTAAATGTATGCAAATCGATGAATGTATACATAAATACATACGTATATATGCATGCATGCATGCATTGTAAATAAGTAAATATTTGCCCATTAATCGTGCTCAACAGACGAACAATAATATGTACATAAATAACGCCAATGGCTTTGTTTTCAACATTGCAACAAATAACAGTCCAAAGGCACATGGACTACCATGAACTTCAGCTGAGAGTTTCCCTTGTCTCAAGGAAATTGTGTTTTTTCTCCTTTTTATTTTCCAGCTTAGCACACTTCATGCTTATGTATACACCCATACCACATTTATGTATATATGCAACTCGCTGGCTTTATTAAATGCATTTGCACAACCTTTTATTGGCCTGCGAAAAGTCAATATCCACGCTGTCCAGACGCCAGACAATGTGTGCTATGGGAATATAATGCTTAACGGTAGCAATGAAAGTAAATAGATTTTCTTTTATTGGATAATTTAAGTGCATTGCCAGAGACAGCGTTCGTTATATTCAAATTAATTTACTTCCCGATTTTCCTATAATTCCAATACTTTTTCGGGTTGATCAAAGTTTTTGTCTACCAGAATATCGAGATTTCATTGTAAACAAAAAAAACTAGCCGATGGAAAACTTAGAGCATGTAAAAGTTTGTGAACTGTAAGGATCAGAATAGCATATAAATTCTGCACTTAAAAAAATAGAATTAAGATGTCTTCGACCATACTGCCTTGCATGACCTACCAAACTTATCGGATTTCATTTTAGGATTAAATATTAGGCCAAGTAACAAGTCATCCATGGAATTTCTTAATAAAAATGCTCACTTACCTCCCTAATGCCTACGAGCTAAACATTGCACAACAAATTATTTGGAACCACTTAAAAAACTGGCTATACTTAACTCTTAATTCGAGCCTATGGAAACTACGAATGCTTGATTCTTATATTTCGTATCGCGCGCAATTCCTGTCTACGGTGAATGATTTGGTCTCCAGAGTCGACTATGAAAATTGATTGCCCCAACTTTTTGTCAATAGGATCAAGAGTTTCTATGAGGGTTGCATAACGACATTATCTTCAAAATGGGAGACGACATGCGTGTTTAATATAAACCTTATAAATCCTCCAGTTTAATGAAAAAATAAAGAATGATTTCTTACACGACCTAATATTAGTTCCAATATTTGAAATATTTATTGGAGGGCGCAATATGAAATAGTCCTCCGATTTGGACGATTTTTAGCAGCAATGTATAATTCCAAATAATTGTGCAGAATATTATTGTACAAGTTGTACGAGAAAGGGACAGACGAACATGACTGAATCCACTAAAGTCATCTTTCAGACGCGATTAGTGTAAATTTAGAAATACAACTTAACACTTTCAAAATCCAACATCAGTTCACTTGGGGCACCAAAGGGACTCTTTTGCGTACTACAGAGGGGACCTCTCCCCAACGAATGAGTGAAGCTTGCATAACGGAGCAATATTTTTTGTCTTTGCCCCGCTATATCGCTTGAGTCTCAAAAATTTGCTGCCGCTAGACACTTCAACTTGCATCTCTAAAGTCCGGCGCATAAGCAAACGATGTGCTTAACTGTTTCAGGTTGCTCTGCATGTCTGCAACTTCTGCAATAGATTTTAGTACGCCCAACCTCTCTGTGTGCTAGCCCCCTCTCAAACTGATCTGCGGTAATTCTCATTAATTTCATTCATCAGTTAGTGTGAAAAGAGTTGAACAAATAATCAAAGTATTTAGATATTGGAGCAAATGGACTCCCAGCACCGCCATCACTTATAACAGCTCAAATATTTCGTTGCATCACATGCCTCACTCATTGAATTGCACACCTGCCCTCTAATGCATTATAATGTCCGTGCGACAGCCTCATTCCAAAAATTTCAAATTGAATTCCATGCACACATGCATAAGTTGCTGTTCCAAAAACCCTCATCAACAACAACATAATAGCAAATTCCATACTCAAAAGCATTTCTTCAATTATTCAACAGCTGACACTTGTGTATTTATAATATATTTAAATTATCATTCCTCACAATCCACACGCGTTCGCCCATAATTCTCGTCAGCAAACAGACTGCCCAACAGATCGGTCCAACTCGAACACAAATTAAAGAAAAATAATAATAAATAAATATGAAAAAATAATATAAACACTTGCAACCAGCCAGACATTAAGCCACTTCTCCGTCGTCTGCGAATTTCTCGCCATTTGACGCGCCACATGTTAGTTTGTTTGTCCGTTTGCTTATTAACAGAAATTACTTACGCTAACTTCAATTTGGCACAAGCCTCCTCGTCGTCATGACGCTTACAAGCTTGCTTTCAGACGTACATCTGTAACGGTATTACCTCATCACAACATCTCCTCGAAAGCAACTCTGCTTTGCAGCCGTGTCTGAGGCGTTGGCCTAATCTGTTTTAACACACAAACATACTGACACCCATTAAATGTAGGAAAGCAAATGTGCAGTTACGACAGTGTGTTTGTAAGTCAATATGACTCACTTGTGGCAAACGAGTATATTTCACAAAATTTTGATGCATTTCTTTCTGTTTATTTTTTATTAATTTTCACTTAAAATGAAATTAAAATTTAAATGGTTATAATTTCGTCATTTTCATTTCATTTCAAAAGCCCGAAAGCCCAGTTGTGGTCTGTTCCATCGACAACTGGCAAATACATACGAGTACATACGCACATATGTACATATATATGTACGAGTATGTACATTTGATGCAACTTAGATAAACTTAATGTGCACAAGACCAACTATCTTTTAGCTTTAGCGCCGCCGCCACTTTTTTCTATTCTTCTTTTATTGGCCGCTCTGTTAACAGACGGTGGACGGACTTTTGCGCCACTCGAAGTTGAGCTTAGCGATTCGGCTACTACATGATCCCACTTTGAAGACTAATTTGCGCTTTTTGGTTTCTTTTAGAGCAAAAATTCATCTTTCGTCAGCGGCTGCTTTCATTTAATCTCTTTTCAGTCTCATGCTTTAATGCAGCAATTCTCTCTCGCTTTTGATGTGGTATATTTAACTTATCATGCAATTTGCTAGGAAATTTATTTGCACAGACCAATTAAATGTGAAATTTTTCACTTTATGGAGAAGGAATTTGAATCACTGCTTAACTGGATCATTATGTAACTAAGTGGGGTCAACCGCAATTATTCCTGGCGCTGGCATCTAGTATAAACAACCAAGTGGAACAATTTAGTAAAAGGTACTAACACATATGCATTGATATGCAATTAATATTCAACTGATTAATGAGTTGAAAAAGCACCCCGAAAAGGGCACACACACAAAGCTGTCTCGTTTCTTTCCTGCTCATGGAAGAAACTCTCAACAATATCCTACAAGTGCTGTGTAAATTGTCTAAGACAACTTAGTGGATTTCAATACTCAGTGGCAATGTGCAGTTTGTAGAGCAAGATAATAACTGCTCCCTTGTATATTTTCTGTTAACTTTGCTAGCAAAATCATCACACCTTTGGCAATAATCAGAGTCGCATCAAGTCATCATTATCACTACTTTTAGATTAAAGCTGTGGAACATCAGATTTAGCCAACAACTGATTGAGGCTGCAAGTTTTGCCTTAACAATTCCTGCTTTTTTACAGCTAAGAATACTTATTTACTCGAACTCGCGCAAATAGGTTCACATATTATATATGTCTATGTATCATACAAGTGTACTCTTGTAAGCAATTTCTGCAATCGCTGATTAACTGATTACGAAGAGTTCAAAACGCTTGACCTCCACTTTTGTGGTGATTTGCTATGAAAACATTCAATAAGGAAGTATATATGTGCTTGTACACATATACATACGTGTATGCAACCTACGAGTACCTACCATCAACGACTTGTAATTTCCAGCAGCCCACAATGGGTGTTTTCCTTCAGTCAGACGACGAGATAACTAGTTGCTGGCGTCGAGGAAATAAGGCTGGACGTCAATATTGTGTTGCTGTCATAAATGTAGCCGCTGCGCCGAACGGTTGTCTCTTGTCGCCTAGTGCTAATAGCTAACTGTTTTGGCCCTACCGCCCATCCATTTTACACTTAACACTTTAATCACATGGTCACGCTTGATTATTTCGGTATAGTTGCAAGTCTTAGATCTTAAGATGTGACTTAACCGTTTTCCACTTTTTATTTAAAAGGGTATTACAGTAATATGGACAAATATACTATGTATTTGTATTACACATTTATTCAATGGCTGCCCGTGCCAGGGGAAAGTAAAGATTTGAGCACGTTATGCAATTAGGTACCTTCAGTTATTTTAATGCACTTCTCAACTGTGAAGCTTCGAAGCTGTGAAGCTGTTCAATCCACAGGTGGCTGGCTGATTAGCTACTATTATTTTTATTGATTTTACGTGATATTTGAGTTAAGTTTATTTAGTAATTCAAGTAATTTCAATCAACTCTATTTGGCAGACACTATAATTAATCATTATGAGCGAAATAAGACAAAAAAGAGACGGTGAAAAATTTTAAACAAGGACAGCAAAGGGGAAGGGATGTGGTGAGCGGGACAAAAACCCATCTACCGTTCATTCATTTGCTTGGTCCGTTAATAGATCCTCCTAGCCTCAATTTCTTCGAGGGACTTCAATTTCAATTCGAAGGAGTGTAATAGTAGAAGGTTCAAGTGACGCATTAAAAATATTCAAGACCCATTAACTTGAACGGGCTTTAAAGTAAGGAAAAATGGTTTTTATTTAAAGCGGAAATTATTTATAGCCGTTGATAATTTTGGGGAGCGAAATTCAATATAAAGATACATGAGGAAAACTCATTGATCTTACCTCCAAGTAATGTTTCAACTATCTCTACCATAAACTGTTCCCACACTCCAAATTAAAATTTCTATATACTAAAGCTAAAATTCGTAATTTCTGCATTTTCAGATCCATAAAAATGTTTGATTTTATTACCTTGGCAATATGTCTTCAGTTGCTTGCAAATTTTCCAACGCATTCAGCGGCTCAGCCACAGCAGAGCTCGCTTTTTTCGGAGTTCCATGCAAATTACAAAAATCAGCATGACAATGAAGAGGTAAGTCCGGCGGGCATTCATTATGCATATCCATGAAATTGTTAAATTAGCTACAATAAATTGTTTAAATAATTAAGTTTCGAAAATAAGACGATGTACAACTAATTTCGCTCGCAGCATGTTGTACAAAACGCGCGTGCAAACGCATTGGGGTCGGTAATAAATAACTTAACAGCTGAGGTGCTAAAAGTGGGTTGATATTGAGAAACTCGCGCTTAGTATAAAACGTATTAACAAATATATATTTTAAAATGAGAAAAAAGATATTTAATATTAGTTAATTTGTGTGTTAGATAAAATGTACCTTCTCAATTTTCAGCCCACATACTCCTATCACTACTACATCGATCATCCCGAGTCGATGGTACATTTGCGGCATCGAGAGGAACGTCATGGCACGCGGGTGACTGGAGAATATGGTTTGCTTGAGCCTGATGGGTCGGTACGCAGTGTCCATTATACCGTGGATGGCAATGGCGGTTTCCGTGCTATTGTACGTACACGCACTGCAGCGAGCAGTGCACATCAACTTTTCCGCTTGGCGAAGCAACAGCCGACTAAGCCCGTGCAGCATGCTCAACCAGTGGCGTTTGTCATTTAAACATTTTTTCTTTCATAATCCTTGAATAAAAGTTTACAAAGAACAGAAATATTTCTTCCATATATCTTTGGCTTATATATAATATATATATAATTGGCGCTTTGTAACCGCTAAAGCGATTTTTCAGCCCATCTCTTCCTCCAAATGGCGGGACTTAAGTCTATACTAAGCCAAATACGATTGGCTAAAAGATTTTTATAAGGAGCTTTTATTTCATGTCCGAAACAAACTCTCAGGGGTGGACATTCCCTGCCGATGAGTGACCGCAATTAGAAAATGTAACTTTTTTATTTTTTTATTTAGGCTTTTGAAAATAAGGGACTGAACTCGAAACAGAGACTTCTGCTCATACTAAGACTGGGACTAATATGGCGGGCACAGTAGCTGAGTAGAAGAGTTTAGGGTTCAATCTCTGGCTGGAACTACTTCTAAAAAAGCTTCTTGCTTCAGGCCAAAGACTAACAAATTAATATAAAAGACCAGCCGAAAATCGCTAGGCTTAAACTACCTCAAACACTACATAAATCCAGCCTTTGACGGAGACTAACTTCAAAACTGGCACTGAGTTCCACTCAGGCTCTAAAGCTGTTAAATAAGTGTCACAAACCGAGTTCGAACAGAGACTAACATTGGGCATCGGAACGGGCACTGATATCGAATAAATCAAAGATAGGTATCAATACTCAGCTTAGTTAAAATGGAAATTAATTTTCTTGTTTTAAATAAATATCTCTCTGCGGACCACCATTATTAGTTTAAATGTTAGCTTAACGTAAAACGCGAAACCGGCGTTAACAAATTAAAGGCAGCTATAATTCAAAATGAAAAAGGTTAAAAGATCGAAATAAACCATTTACGGTAACTTTTCATTAAATCACCGCGTTAATTTGCGGTTAAGTAAATCAACAAAGTGGCAACTAAAAAGTTCATAAGTCAGTTGAGGAAAAGACGCTGCCACTGGTTATGGTCGCGGCGTCATTTACACCTTATAAGATACATACGTACATATGTGTAACTGCACGCAACTATCAGAAAATAATTAAAAATAATTAAAAAACGCAACACAAAGCACTGTTTATTCATAACCAAGAATATATTCAACATTGGACTTTGATAGCCGAAAAGAAAAGGGCATTTTCACATCTTCGCCCCTACTGCGATAATGTCCTCCTCTCTTATGTACGCGTCTAGAGGGTATCCCCCCTTGAAGTATCTATTCGGGTGTTATGAGTTGATTTAGTATGTCGCCATGTCCAAATTGCTGTGGGCTTCAGCAACCCCATTCCATTAGTCTCATAGCAGAGCTTGCTGTAAATTTCCTTATGGTATGCAGTGTGTTAAGAGCGCCTGTGGGACATAACTTAATGGCTCCAGTAAGCCCTGCTCATGTTTCTCTTCAGATTCAATTTAGTTTCCATTTTTTAGAATTGGTCTTATACATCCATCTCAAAATACTTAGGTTTAGGTCTCAGTGCTCAGCTTTGCAAGTGCAATCAGCCACATAGGCCTTTCTTAAACTTTTTTCGAGATTCATCTTCCAGTTCAGCTCGGAATCAATCTCAAACCCTAGACTGTAATTGTAAGGATAGAGCTACACGTTAAGTGCAAGAGGTCAAAACCGAGATGTTTCGCTTTTATTCTGTTTTAGCATTAACATCTGAGGGTCTCTCTATAATCTTACTGATTGTAGGAGGAAACAGTTCTGGTACCATCAACACCGTTGAGTTCAAGTAGAATTTCGTTTATCGACACTACCTATAGAGGCGTGGACAAAGCACCACCCCTTGAAAAGTCCCACTGCAAGTTGTAGATTTTTCGAGTCGCTAAGCCCACTCAGACTACAGAGACAGCTTTTTTTGAATTTTTCCTTCTTTCGTACTTACCGATAATACAATATATTGTCTCATAAAAAGCCTTGCGTTTATTATGTATTATATGTATGTATTCAGTTTTATTGCTCGTTTTCCTATTCGTATATAATTATTTACAATTATATCTTATGAGAAAAAATCATTAATTAAACAAAACCCATACGAGTACTATCTGATATCTGATATAATTGCAACTGATGCATTTTACATTTAATATTATAATAATAACATTTTTATATATGTAAACTCTTTCTACCAGTTCTATGTTTGTTTAAAAGATTATAGTTTTATATATTGTACATTTTTTCGTTAAGTTTGTTTCTATTATTATCCAGTTTATTTGAGTTATGGCAAAGCAGATGCATTTATTATGTATATACGTGTGTATGTTTGTATTAGCATAATTACATGATATTTACTTGAACACATTTATTTCGGCACATACGTGTATATGTGTGTACTCTATGGAAGACAGTGGAGTTTTCATATGCAACGATTGACCATTGATTAAAAAACAGTTAGTTAATTAAAATTTGCAGAAGGAAATACAATTTTTCATTTCTGACTGACATGTACGTGTGTATGTAAGTATGTACGTATATAAATGCAATTGTTAGCATTTTTTTTTAATTTGTGTGTCTTGCTGTTGAGTCCTAAATCAGCGATAGCAAACCTAAACAGCCGTAACGGTTATGTTATTCAAACATTCACCTGCTCTTCGCACCCGAGATCGCGTTAGCCGTATGAGCCCCCGCTGATGCTGTAGCTGCTGTTTGAGTGCTTGTCGAGATATTTGGTAATTTCAGGTGTGATTTCGATGGATGAAGCGATTTGCTTTTGCTCAGCGGCGAATCTTTTTCATGCGCCAACTTGGACTCGGCGGCGATTGTGCTTTTAGCTGAAGTTGTTGTTCTGGCTATGGTGGGTGTAGGAGCTGACTCGGAGGTTGTCAACTTCGCCGTGGCTTCGGTAGCTACAATTTTCGTCGGGAGAAAGGCGATTGGCGCATCAGGGCGTGGCAATTGTTGGGTGCGTATCAGCTGATCTTGATTAAAAACGCTTGTATAAGGCTTTTCGTTGGGTAGAGCCAATTCTTGAATGAGTGGAGACTGTAATGAAAAGGTATATGAAGGGATGAAAAGATGACGGGATGGCTGCAATTACTACATGCTAGTGACATTAAAGGTACAAATGCGCGAGTTGAATGTTGTGTGTATGTTTGTATATGATTTTTCTCAAAAATTTAAGTTCACAAAATTCACATAGAAGAAATGATAACTTAATTATTTAATGAAATTAAACGAAAGATAATTTTGAAATATATTTGAACTAATTTCTCCAGAAAATTAACTAATATATGAAAAATTTTATCAAAAACAAATGTTTACAGATAAAGACGAATAAAATGTTTTTTCTTTTAATTTTTCCTATTATATTTCAAACTTTATTTATAGTAATATATTCTTACATAGTTTTGTGGCACGTATTTGACCTTCTCGTATGCTTTGAACTTTTTCGTTTTCGCATTATAATATTTGCCCGGTAATTTGTTGTTCACGTCAAAGTAATTGCCAGCACCGTTATTGCGATTAACTTGTTGGTTTTTATAGTAGTTGTTGTTATTGTTGTTGCTGTTGTTGTCATATGAGCTTGACGACGCCACCACCGCCGTGTATCTAATACCAACATTGGGTACGTATTTTGCTGCCAAACTACCGCCTCCCATATTGGCGCTGCCCTGTCCGGTGAATTGCCCTGCGTTTGCATTGGAGGGCAGCAAAAGGTTGCCATAGTAATGCAGTGGCCTTTGACCGGCGTTGGCAAAGTTATTGCCGTTGGCGGTTGGTCGTGGTCGGGCTGGCGGTGGTAAAATGTAACTGAAAAATAAACAAAATGGAAGAAAAATGGTCTGGTCAGCAAGGATTTGGTACAGGACAACTGAATTTTCTTTTATGCAGCCGAGAACCTTGAATTTCAGAAACCAAAAAATTTGATTGCACAGAATTAGGAATCAGATATATATATAGGTGAAGCAGAAAATTTCTTAACAGTCGATAACATCGATTAATTAAGTTTACTATTTTACTTTTACTTTAAAACAAATAGCTCTCTTATAAAGATTATGGGTAGATATCGTTAATTAAAAACTATACATATACGCATATACATATACCATTTATTATGTTAAAATTTCCTACTGGGAATGATAGACTACTATTGACATTTTTAATTGTATGAGAATTTAAAAATTAACGTTCAAAACTGAAAAGCGGAGATAAAACAATAATGGCTTTATTCAACTCAGTTTTTCGTAAGAAAAGTAAGGGGCGCAGTAATAATAGTAAGCCTTAATGTTTCCCACCTCCCGACAGGAGGATTTTTTAAAAAGAGAATTATGTATAAATTTATTTGAAGTATTTAATATTAGTTTGTTGGTACTCTAAAGTTTTGTTTTTTTTTACTTACGTGTATGGATTTGGATTGAGTATATCGTTGCTTTGATCTTCCCAAACCGGCGCCGGCTCTCGGAACGGTGCCACCGGACGAATTGTTGTACGTGGCGTTGGGGGTATTATAGGGCCTTTATTCGTATTAAAATCAACACGTATCGCCGTGCAAATTGAAATTAAACACGTGACGAGGGCGTATGTGGGTTGTGAGTACTGAAAAGTAAAAAATGGAAAGCAATTAAAAAGGAAAAACTTGAAAACAGCAAAACATCAAAACAAAGAATTATGAGAATTCAAGCTTCTAGTGAGCAAATACTGGAACATAAATGTTGATAATGTATTCAAAATAATCGTAAAAAACGTTGTATAATTTAATTGATAATGTAGGAATAGTGCGGGGATAATTTGGATGCATGTGCAACGTCAAACTGAAAAGAGAATACGGTTTACTAACATGACGCAACGATCTACCCGTATCCTGTATATCCATTAAAAAATTGTTTTTAAAAAAATGTCCTGATACTTTAGTACTTAATGGAAGGCTTTCCTCTCTATGCAAGTGGTGAAACGGGACTTTTATTCTTGATGCCTTCCTCGAGGTAGTTTCACGTCAACTTCTTCTCACAGAAAGTTTCCAATATCCGAAAGGGTTTCTGCGATTGTTTCGTGTAATGTGATAAAAAGAACTGTAATGATAATGTTCGCAAAACGTGTTATCGCTTGGACAGTTCTCAACGTCCTAACCTCGAACTGGTCCCGTTGAAAAAGGGAAGAGTCTGACACACACCCGTGTTGCCACCATGATGAAATAATTTTTGTATTATATTATTAACAGGTGGCAATGCTTGTTAAAATATTTGTGATGCAAATGCAATTTATTTAATACCTAAGGCACATTACTTGACTAAGGGACACTTTCAATTGAATTTAGTTAACTAACAGGTGGCAGCATACACAACTTGTAACCAACGCTAACCGGGTTTCAATGACTCAAAAAAACTCCGCTGAGAGATTTCAGAGCTTATACGCTGTATACAAACGTAAATACATACATTCCTCTTCTTTTATATAGTACATATATAGGAGACTGTTAGCTTCTTAGAAGTAAAAAGTTTCATATTTGCTAAACTTGAAATATTCTCATGAAAATATGAGGCCTTGCAACTCGACATACACGTAAAATGTTGCAACATAAAATAATCGACCGTTAAAATATTGAAAATGTGATAGTGAGGATCTGGTATAATTTATTGAAAAGTCAATTTTCTAAGCAAATATATTTAGCGGTGCACAACTTTTTCCAATATTGAAATATTCAAGGTATATCGCTTTATTTATTTATTTATTTATTTATTTATTTACACATAATCATAATGGAAGTGCATTTCCTTTCGCCTGCGATTACTTACTTAATTTATTCACTTTCCGTTATTCAAAAGCTGCTCATTTATTAAAAAAAAAAAATCCATTTCAACATTCTTCCATTATAAAATAATCACATCAATAATATGTAGCTATCAGCGAGCAAAACAAAAACTTAGTTAATTCAAATTAATGCATTTCAACGCGTGACAATCGCACACATACATACATAGTTGCATTTAGAAAACAGCAAGTACGTGCCACACAACAATAAAGCATATCGATTTTAAATGACCGCCGAGCATTCCACAATACATTTATCGAATTGACACTTTTTTCTGAACTCCCGCTGCGTTTCAGCTCAATTAATTTTTTTCGTTACATTTTAAATGAAGTGCAACGGATAGAAAAAACGCCTGCATACATATGAGCGAGTGTTTCGACTTGTTGGAAAAATCAACTGGAAGCATGCAGCACATTTAGCTCAATGATTTAGAAATGTTTGCCAATTAAATTTGCCTTTTAAAGCTGAGCGTTAATTGACGCAGCGAAAAACGGCATTTTATCGGGGCAGGAATGTGTAAAGATTGCGCTGCTAAGCATGCGATTAAGTTTGTAGAAGCACAAGTGATGAGTGGCAGAAGAAAAGGCAAATGTGTGTTGTTGTGCTGCAGCAACACACGCAAGCACCAACACAAGCGAACAATTTGAACTTGACATCGAATGCCGGCTGTCAGCTGTCACAGTTTGTTCAGTTTGTTGAGCGCAACAACTATTTGGTGCGAAGTGATTTTCGAAAAGTAAATGAAGAAAATAGACACAAAATTCTATGTCAATCATTTCACTGCAATTAAGTACATAAATAAATGTGAGTGATAAATTACAAATTGTAATTTTAAATCACCAACAAAACCAATTGTAATGCATTGATGATGTCATAAATAATTATGAGCTCATTTAAGCAAACAACAGCCATTTTCAAATGCATCAATTCATAAATTTACACATTTCATTTTATACTAATAAACATACATTTGACGTAATTTAAGGTCTTTTGTCATAACTCATTTATTTGTACAATTTAATCGGCAAATTTGTTGTGCGCAGGGAGGGAAGAGAGTCGGGGTGGCAGGTGAATAATGCTTTGTCCCTTGGCAGTATTTGTGTGGTAAATTAAGTGTGAAACAGCAGGGCGTGAACACAATTTTGCTACGCCCGTGAATTCAGTGTTAATTCATGCTTTCTGCTTCATGGCTGCTTGCGGCTGCTACTTAGTTGCTGTGACGCCGCATTACACACCACTCCGCAATGCCCAAATGGTTATCCATTAAAAAAAAATGTGAAAGTATAAAAGAAACTCAAAAGTAACGAAGTTTTGACGGAAAACTTTTAGAAGGGAAGATACTTTATTTCAATCGATTATTTTTAAAATATCTTTTTTTTTGTTAATTTGAGAATGATATTAGCTAAAAATCGCTAAAGGTATTATTAAGTCAATTTGCCCCCGATTTGTGGAGTGTGTCTTTATTCATGTCCAAAATACGCTCGGAGTGGTTGATATACACAAAACTAATTTTCTGTCATTTGGATGTTGGCTACACGGCTAATGTGGTTATTTTAGCGATTACAAAATCTTTTTATAAAAGTTTTTGTTTATTAAATTTTGTTCTGCAAAAAACACAGAAGGTTGACGCTCAACCAAAGTGGACAGCAAGAACAAAGCCTACACCAACACACGTAATCATAAAGATATTTCAATTCGTCACGGCTTTCGAGTGTGCATATGTATGCAAATAAACCAAGCGTACGTGCCAGAGGTCATAATAATGAACTTTTTACATTGTTTTTATCAAATTAACATACACGTAATATACTCTTTTTTAAAGTCGAAAATATATGACTAGATTTTTCTATTCAATGATTTCAAGGTAAAGAAAACTGCAATTTATCTTGAAAAAAGTAAAGCAAAAAAAATTAACAAAGGCTCAAAATTACTAACAACAGGCATGTCCTGTAGTAAATTTTTAAAAAATTTTCACAATTTTAATTGATACAGCAATCCCAGCTCAGACACTTTTCAATGCCTAGAAATGTAATGATTTCCAATTTTTTATGTTCAACTCAAAAGGTAGATTAAAGTGAAACAAAATCAATAGTGCGTTTCCGCCACATCCGGAGGATAGCGAAGACATTCAAACATTGAAATTGACTTGATTTTAAGAAACCAGTAACTTGTCAAAATTTAGCTTCAACTCTCCCCGCGCTAAGTGAATAACTCATTTATCGACATTTAATAATATTTTAATTATCAATTATCAAAATTGTCGACACCTGCTAAGCAGCACATCATGGGCAGCCAACGAGTTGAAAACGTTTATTTTCTCGCATTTTGACTTCTTCTTTCATTCACTTGTATTTAACTGTGTCTTTAAACTGTGCGGCAACATGCAACACTGCCTTCGCGGCCAAGGCTGCTATTTGCAGCCAAACGCGCACATTAATTTCTAACATTAATGGCAGACTCAAACGCTGTACATATTAAACCACATATGTATGTATATATACATGTAGATATTTATATACAAATATAAGTAAATTGCAATTCATCACCGGCACATATTATAGGCACACAAAGTATACATTTACATATGTATGTACGAGTATGCATGTAAATATGTCAAACCTTGAACCTTTGTGTGTTATTATATATATATAAATAAAATTAACAGCGTATTTTTTTACATTGTCCCATACACATTTACATATGTATATGTATGCATATGTACTGATTTGGGCATCAGCTGAAATTAAAAGTGTGTGTGTATATGTAAATGAGTGTTTTGCGAATCTGTATCCACACGTTACTCCATACATACAACACGTGACTGTGTGTAGCATCACATTTCCAGCGATAATGGGCAACTTACGGTAACAAATTACTTGTATTAATCTTCATATGAAAACACTATGATACATAAATTATGCTTAACAACGCAGACATATGTATATACATACATATGTATAATTACATATTTGATATTTGTATACAGTTTGTCTTGCATTTTGCCGGTCTTTCGGCTGTTACATGTATTACTTTAACCGTGTGGGTGGCAATTTGCCATTGTATTGAAAAACAATTATTGTTTCATAATAATTATAATTATTTATTTATTTTTTTCACAATTATATAATTTACAATATTTTTGAAAAATTCTAAAACTCCTGACACTTCATGTAAGTGAAATAAAAATAAAAGAGAAAAAATAAAACTCCAATTTCAATTTTAAAGAGTTCTGCGTACATACATATTTTAATTGACGTGAGTCCACTTTTTAAAATAACCAAAGTTGAATGCTTTGATTTCAATGGAATTAAGAGTAAATTAATAAATATGTCTTAATCGCAAAAAACTTGGAAATCATAAACTTCAGCTACTTTCCAAAATTATCTCAGAGATGAGTTTTATTAAAAGTTCTCAAATTTTCAAAAATGCTAGACATAAGAAATGTTACGTATACGTATAGTAGGACCAAAAACTATTTCGATACGTAAAATCGAATATACGAAAATAATTTAAATTTGAGCAGGTAAGAAGCCATTTAATTGGGTTTTATTCGAAATTTGTGTATGCTACAGTTCAGGCAAAAGCTAAAACCACCAGACTTTTTACTTAATTAAGATTTCCGTGGATTAATTCGGGCAGGAAGGTTTTGGCAAAGAAGGCAATACGTCCGACCGTTATTCCGACATGAAATAAAATCTTCTCATAAAAGTTCAACTGGCGTCTGTAGACGGCTCAAGCCCAGATCGCTTCATTTGAAGTGAACGAACATGAAGAACCAAAATCGCTC